CCCTTTGTGTATGTTGAGACCTACTGCTGCTGAGGCTGCTGCCACACTGTTTGTCTTCTCCTGCATCTGTTGTTGCGTTTGGGATAGAAGGGCCAGATCGTCTGCGAAGTCTAGATCATCCAACTGCATCTTAGATGTCCATTGTATCCCGCGCTTCCCTTCAGACGTTGACGTCTTCATGATCCAGTCGATCACTGGGAGAAAGAGAAAGGGTGAGAGTAAGCAACCTTGCCTAACACCGGTCTTCACTTCGAATGACTTTGTCAACTGTCCTCCATGCACAATTTTGCAGTGTAATCCATCATATGAGTTCTGTATGATATTGACTATTTTCTGAGGCACGCCGTAGTGTCGAAGAAGTTTCCATAGTGTTGTTCTGTCCACGCTGTCAAATGCCTTTTCGTAGTCAATGAAGTTGATGTAGAGTGATGAATTCCATTCAATTGATTGTTCCACAATTATCCGTAGAGTTGCGATTTGGTCTGTACACGATCTATCCTTACGGAATCCTGCCTGTTGGTCTCGAAGTTGGGCGTCTACGCAGTCCTTCATCCTGTTTTACAATACCCTGTTGAAGACTTTTCCCGGTATTGAGAGAAGAGTGATGCCCCTGTAGTTATCACAGTTGCTGAGATCGCCTTTCTTCGGTATTTTGATTAGAAGTCCTTCTTTCCAGTCTGTTGGTACTTGTTCCTCATCCCAAATCTTATTGAAGAGAATGTGGAGTATCCTTGCAGTTGCCGCTACGTCTGCTTTTAGTGCCTCTGCTGGGATGTTGTCCGGTCCTGCTGCTTTGCCACTCTTGATTTGTCTGATGGCCATGCTGATTTCTTCAATTGTTGGTGGGCCAACATTGATTGGGAGGTCCGTGGGTGCTGCTTCGATGTTGGGTGGGTTCAGTGGAGCTGGTCGATTCAACAGTTCTTTGAAGTGTTCTACCCACCTGTTTTGTTGCTCTTCAATGTTGGTGATTACCTTGCCTTCCTTGCTTTTCACTGGTCGTTCTGGTTTGTGGCGATTTCCAGAGAGTTTCTTTGTCGTGTCATACAATTGTCTCATGTTTCCTTCTCTTGCAGCCTTTTCCGCCGTCGTTGCTAAATCATCCACATATTTACGTTTGTCGGTTCTGATGCACCTCTTCACTTGTTTGTTTATTTCCGTGTATTCAGCTTGTGCCTTGGCTTTTTCTGCTCTTGTTCGACAGGTATTGATCGCTGCCTTCTTGTTCCTCCTTTCTTGAATCTTATCCAGTGTACCAACAGTGATCCATTCCTTGTGACTGTGCTTCTTGTGACCCAGGACCTCATGACATGTTGAAGTGATTGCCTCTTTGATCCCCTTCCAGTTGCTCTCCACAGTAGTTCCTTCTCCATTGAGTAGATCATGAAAGGCCTGGAACTTGTTGCTGAGGACTATCTTGAATTTGTTGAGTTTGTTAGTATCCTGGAGAAAGGCCGTATTGAACTTTTGTGATACTGTCTGCCCCGTTGTCCAGTGCTTCTTGAGTTTCAATTTCATCTTGGCGACCAGTAATTGATGATCTGATGCTATATCAGCTCCTCTCTTGGTTCTCACGTCCTCTATAGTCCTCCTGAACGTTTTGTTGATGCAAATATGGTCGATTTGGTTTTGTGTAGAGTGATCCGGTGAAGTCCATGTGGTTTTGTGTATGCGTTTATGTGGGAATACGGTGCCGCCTATGACCAGCTTATTGAAGGCACATAGATTTGCAAATCTCTCACCATTTTCGTTTCTTTCTCCCAGTCCGTGTCGTCCCATGATGTCTTCATATCCAGTGTTGTCCGTTCCAACCTTGGCATTGAAATCTCCCATCAGAATGGTCAGGTCCTTTGTTGGGCACTTCTCGACGATTGACTGCAGCCTATTGTAGAATTGATCTTTAGCGTCTTCATTATAGTCGTTGGTAGGCGCATAGCATTGGATGATGTTCATTGAAATGCCCTCTTTCTTTGTTTTGAAGGAGGCTTTGATGATCCTTGGTCCATGAGATTCCCATCCTATAAGCGCATTTTGCGCTTGTTTGGACAGCATCAATGCAACTCCTTGTGTATGTGGTGCATTTTCTTCTTCATGGCCGGAGTATAACAGGAGCTCTCCTGTAGTTAGTCGTTGTTGTCCAACTTGTGTCCAATGTGTTTCACTGATCCCAAGTACCTCTAGGTTGTATCTTCTCATTTCTGCAGCAATCTGGAAGGCTCTTCCGGTGTCCCACATTGTACGAACATTCCATGTACCTAAATAAATGGTTGCTCTGGTTGTCAGAAGGGGCATCGGCCTCGTAACTTCCGAAGGAATTCGGCTTTCATCATGAGGCGTCATAATTCTTCTAAATGAAGACCTTCTGACTCCCAGGGCAGAGTTTAAAAGGTTTGAATAATTTTTTCTGGTTAGCGTTTTTTTAGCGAGTTAGTTTTCTACGGGATGGGGACGCTAACCCCATGCCCAACCCTCCTCCTTTATCCGGGCTTGGGACCGGCAGTAGCCCCCGGAGGGACTCCAGGCGGAGTTTCTTCATAGGAGAACTATCATTCAAATGAAGAGCCCGATAGAAACCTAGTGAAAATATTTCAACGTCTGTTGAATATTGCAGTTAACTCTTCATCAATTGCAAAAGAATGAATATATTTCAGATCATCGAGTATAGATTGAAATATTTCACCCAAATCGGACATCAGTAATAAGGAAAATTAGCGAACTGTTTTAATTATTATAAATAAAATTTACAATATTGATTGGTTGTACCACGTTTATTGCTATCTATTATTAGATTGGAATCCCAAAGTTTCGGACTGTTTAAACTCTGTATGTCATATTTTCTTAACCTGACGCTGGATACTTTATCACAAGGGTGAAGACTATTGAATAATAAAATACTATTCGACCTAATGATGTCAAAACTATGAGAAATACATATCCAGAGCTATTAAGTGACAGAATGGTGACGACTCATAAACCAAGTTAGATGAATATCAGAAGACAGTAATAGTGGTTAGTAAAATTTGTTATCTCATCACTATATTGAAGGTGTTTATGTACAAAGTATTCGGCACAAGATGAACGTAGTTATGACCTGTTAACCGAAACCAATTAAAGTTGCATATTAGCTGAAAACGTGAGAACTAAGTATGTTATTAACGGTATATGAGATCTTCTACTAAGAGGTACAATACTAAAGATTAACTGTAAAAGATTTGCCTGATGTTCAGATTATCCCTGTTATCATTATCCTTATCTCGTACATTATGACAAAATTTCTGATCGAATACATTTTTCCAAATTTTTTAGCGATCCGTCTTTAAAGTTAGGTACGTCTTTTCATGAGTGAGTGAGGTTTTGAGAGGCTTCTAAACAATTGTAACAACTCAGCCATCAACTAAATATTTATGTAAAGAGCTTACATCACACACAATTGGTGAGAGCTAGAGATAATACCACTGTACAGATCGAAGTGAGTAAAGTGCTGTTCAAACAGAGAACAAACCGGATAGAGTTTGAGTGCTTTAGCCTCTGGACCAAAGTATTACATTCAACGTTATCAAGACTTCACAATGTCCATTCGTGAAAGTATTCCTGAAGAACAGTTGGTATCTGTCTAGCTACTATGAAGGTTACTGTTGTGAAATCCTATCTTCATAATGACTTTGTAACAGTGACATATAAAAGCTCTTATACAGTGATTTTTTCAGACTAAAGCTGTCGATATTCAGTTACTTTCCCTCATATCGAAAGATAGTTTTATTTACTTAGTCTGTCATGAAACTTTCTGGATGAGAACCAATAACTTGGAATTTCAGCAATTGAATTTATAAGAAACTGTACATAAAAGACTTTGTTTACTTTATGATAGTAGGTGTGTCTCCATACTTTTAATTCATAGATAGAATGGTTACATTTTATGATATATGTATCTGAGTGACTTGATTACTATAAATTTACAAATATCAATTTGCACTTCCGCGTAGTGCTTCCTAGATAGTAGGTGATCTTTCTACTCATGGACTAACGCAAGCGGCACAGTGGAGACCGGACTGACCAACCACTCCGCATAAGTCAGGTAGAGATTTGGCTTAATCTTAATTACATGAGAAGAGAGGTCAACTTGAAATGCGTTTGATTGTTGCATTGAAGGAAAACTCATTTTTATGCATGAACAGACGAGTCTGGAAATGCCCATAAGGTCTGACAGGGGTGGGCCAGGGCGTAGGCCGAAAAATGTGCAGTAACCAGTATACAGTGATCGATACAAAACCGGATTGTGATAAGAGCGTGAAGTGAGCACCTCTTCTATGACGGCTTATTCACATGCTGATTTGAATACTCGATATTCAACCAATGAAACACCTAGGGCGATCGCATCTATACCTATATGTATACTATGGGGTATATGGGCCTTGGCTTATGCATTTCTGTGTGAATGTATCGTATAATTGCGAGCGGAAACTTCTACGCCTATATGTACTTGTGGGAAGAGTGGACTTGTTGAAGCTTTATATTATTGCATGTAAAGCATACTAGCAACCGCGCCCATCTATGCCATTATGTATAGCACTGGAATGTTTGTATCTTTGATACCTGCATTTGAATATATGTATATTAAACATACTTGGGGATAGGTCCCGCGTTTTTCCATTTGTGAACTTATTAGTAACTCACCAGCGCTTTTAGTTTGCATAAAAGCTTCCAAAAGTGATAGGAAAAATGTAGTATATGTCAGTAAGAATACAACTGTACTACATAGTGTCAGTTGAGTTAATCACCCATGCTAATTATATCACCATCCCTTTATACATATTTTCCCCAGTGTCCATTCGTATTGTCTTTGCAAAGCGCTTCTCTACCCAAAGAGTCATGAGGTTCTCCACCTATGTTGAGCGGGAATAACTATAACTAACTACTAATAAACATTACGATGATAGACCTTTAAAACAATGAACGGTCAATTGATTTTAAATTCACTGAATTAAAGAATAATAAAACAATTCGTCAACATAAATTAATTATTCTGGAAGTGTAAACTAAACAGGATGAATTTAATAATATAACAACTGTTGAAATGTTTTCTTTGAAGTAATACAAAATAGCAAATATTGAGTTTTTTTATTTTTAAAGAAAATACAATCTTCAAATAACACCTTTCTGATTTTGAGAGTATATTCGGAATAAAATGTTTATTAATAAAGGTAGCTTTGTAATAGCATAAAATTCACCTTTAATTATCGAATTAGTTATACTTACGATGAAATAAATTCATACATGTTGGCACAATAAAAACTGTAATGAACGGACAAATAGTGCCTTGTAAAAATGAATTAAATAAATGTAGCATATTAAAATGACTTTTCATCACTTCGTCACTAATATTAATTGTAGAAAGACTGATTATCTGGTTACATATTGATTCCATAAGTCTTGTACTAATAACCACAATTATTAAACTGAATAGAATAATCGGTAGGGAATTTGTGTCTAATACTGATTGTTTAGAATGTGTTGGTTTACGACGCAAACCTAAAGATAAACCTGAATAAAAAGAAGTACAGGAATTAGTTCAATAAACAAACAGATATTTAAGAAATGGAATACAATATATGAGTGACTGTTGCAATCACTAGTTCGATATGAACTAACGTTTATCATTAGACCGATGGATCAGATATGAATATATTCAAGAAACAAGTAAAGATATTTCCAACGACTATTTAACATTAATCAGTACAGAAACCATGATAACAAAGTTTATTAGATTAAATAACTTTTTTTATGGGAAACTAGTAATCTCGTATTACTGGGTGGTGAATTTATGTAAACTATACACACAGAAATCAAGTTAACATTTATTGAGAAAACGAAATAATTAGACAGTCGTTTTTCCATAATTTGAAACTCTTTAATGATATTTATCCATAATCATGTTTCATATAGTGAAGACTAATTAAAGACTGTGGTGTGAACAGTCACCTATTGAAGCTAGTCACATTTGCAGATATCCAAAATTATTTAGTTATGACAAAATAGACGAACTATCTCGTACTGTAAAATAACTGAAAACTTCACAGTCAAATGGGTTTTAGGATTTAATATTTTCTGCACACAATCACAAACTACTCTAACACCTAAGGCTGGACAGAATACTAGTATATATCTTCAGACTCTGGCTTGATATCAGTTCATAGGATTACTGATGATTAATCTTATTAGTATCCGAAAGTAAAACTTTCCTGGTTGGTCTTAAAAGAACCATAGTAATCCATGACTGAGAACTTTAGATAATAAGGCTCGAAATCGGATGCATTGACAAGGTATGGATTTAATTTGCGACTTAGTGTAAATCTTTAATTTTAATATTATCTAAACTTCTCACTTCTTTCCTTCCGATCAGTTAGTTTTAAACACCACTAATATTTTGATTAATATGCTGTGCATCATCTTAGTTTCTTCTTGTTCGGTTGACATGAAATGTGACAACTTACGAAAACAAAATACCAGCCAGAAAATCATAACATGAAGAGATTAGTACTATAAAGGACGTACCAGTAGCAGTCCCAGCAATTCGTGAAAATCCCATCATAAGACTTGTTGATAAGTGAATCCATTCTGGTCGTAAACATGCTGATTGTGCTAAATTTATACTCCAATTAGGATCTACTTTTATACCATACTCTAAGAATACGCTGAAAAAGTATGCAAATATGAATGAACAGAAGCCCAACCACAATAGTCTGTTTGGATGAGTTAAGAGATAAACAGCTTGTACATGTAACCAGTTTATTTTGACTTCGTTTTTTGAACTGAGAAAACTACCAGGTAAACTAAATAATAACCCAACTGCGATACCTAAATTTAAAACAGAATATACGAGAATAAGTTAAGTAAACTATGGTAGTAGTTAGTAAAGAGCTATTCTGAAAGATAGTTTTTGAAATTGCAAATCATGTCACAAAGAAGAGTAGCAAACATAAATTAGTGAACACAATAACTGAAGTTAAATAAGATATAGACAAAACATCGAAAATCCATGGTGATATATGTTACTCAATGCCCTACTGAGAATCAAATCATAAGAGATTAAAAAGTGTATTTCATATCTTCAACATCAATGGCTCTTCATATAAAATAATGAACTTTGTTAGGAGACGGAAATATTATAAAAAAAGTACACAAAAATAAGCATGAATACAAAATCTCACGAACAACTTCATCTTTGTCATATGTTTGAGCACAGAAATTTAACAATCATGTTTCTACAGCATTTAAAATAACTAGTTAATAGTAATGGAGCGACAGCTTTTTCAGTGTGATTTGCACTTTTTTCTGAGACATGTTTTCTTATCTTTAATTATACACTCATCTTGCTTATTTACATGATATTCTTATTAATAATCATTCTCAATGTTATTATTATTAATATCATCACAACTATGACACAATAATTCCCATGTTGCATTAACTTGTTTTTACATACCATTTTAACTTATTGATTACAATTTATCACCTTCATAAAGGTGTAGTTTTTTCTCACCCTTCATATATAACCTTTTCACAACGTTACCAATAATGTCATTTTATTTAACGGTTGAATTCATGAGTTGATCTAATCTAGACCACTATTGAAAACCTAGAAGCACTGAATGGTCGTTTCGCCCTAGTATTGGACTCCTCAGCAATGCGCATTCACGATCCCGCACGCGTTGTCTGGACCCAGGACTTTCGGTCTCGCGTGCAAACGCTTAACTTCTAGTTAGTAAGTTGTAGCATTTAGAACTCAACTATCGTGAAGCTTGCCTTTCAATTTATACAGTGGATGAATCCAACCTTAATATTTTGTCTATTGAAAAATAAAAATAATCTGAATAATTCACAGTGGCATCTCTTAGTTCAGTGATAATGAATATCTCGTGGTAACTGGAAATATATTCTTATTTTCCAAGTTTTTACTATTTTACGATGAAAATACGTTCACTTTTAGAGTTGGCACATCAGAATTAAACAGACAAGCGATAAATAGATTATTTATTGTGGTTTTGCATACAGCGATTGAATAATAATTTGTTTTTGAAAAAACTGGTAATTATAAAATAATTTAACAAAAGTGAAAATGATTGTTACCAGATATTAGTCCTAAAATGACTTGATGAGGAAAATGTGCTGCCAAGTAACAGCGGCTAAGGGCAATTAACCCAAAAACTAAACAGGATAGTGTTATCAAACATCGTTGATGGTTTCGACTAAAATAAATAAGGATGAACAATAGGGGTTAAGTTTACAGAAACTCGAACAGAAAAAAAGAAAAACTTATGTCTCGATATGAAATGAAACCTTCCTGTTTTTAATCAGTTGATTCCCATCAAACAGATTGCAATGTAGGCCAGTTTGAATGCGACGATAACCAGTTTCTTCTAGGTCTGGGATAGCCATTTAGTTTAATTAAAAGTTTCAAATTGGATTGCCTTCTCGAATATGACTAGACAAATATGAAAACTAACTATCGAGACAGAATAGATGTGCTTCTTGTTGAGCAGACAAATTAGCTCAAATCCCTCATTATGACTTGATTAATAACTTTTAAACCCAATCGTACTTCTTTGATCAAGGCCATCAACAATCCTCATATTTCATCCCCTTATGATAGACCATAGAAATATCTTCAGTAATTTATTTTCTTTACCTTAAGTTAGAACGCGTTTGAAAAAGAAAAAATAACATCAGTTCGCCATCTATATTGTTTTGATAATAACTCCGTTGCTAATGCAAAGATTTCTCTTCATTCACTTTTCATTGAAGAATTACAGTTTTTGCAATATATAGTTATATTACTGTAGCTACTTTCTCCCGCACTATTCAACAAAATTAAGGTTGAGTACTTTAATTACTTTTATCGTTGACTTAAATGCAATTGATATGTTAATCAGTTAGACCTAGGCTGAACAACATTTTCGAGAGTGATTTCCCAAGTACTTCCTATTGGTAAATTTTAAAGTCACAGTATCTTTAAGCAATTAGTTGGACAGTAAGTAACAATAATAAAGCGAAATACATACTTTTTTAATTTATGGTAGAAGTAAGTTATCATTGGTGTTAGGCTTGCTACAGTTACCATACAATGGCCTGATGGACTTCCAGGTCCAGTTTCACATGTTAGTGGGTACTGTTTTACAGATAAGTCAGGGTCGGTCAGCGATCGATTCAGTGTAAGCCACCAATATGGCCGATGACCATATAACATCCTGCAGATTGAAAAATGAATCAGAATTAAGCCAAAAAGGCTTAAAAAGACATTTTTAACAGTTCAACCCACTAAATATTTAAAAGTAAGAGAATAAACAATCTACAAAGAGCTTAAGTGAGAAATTAACACATGAGTTTGAAGTTACAAAAAATATTAGACGAACGAATGAAGATTGCCCGTCAAAAGAATTCGCCAATTACAGTTTTTCTGTATGTCCGTCGTGATCACAAACGAAGAATTGCTTAAACACTGATAATCTTGCTTACACATGTAGTGATTAGTGTTAGGCCAGTGAAAATTAGATGTCATTGACCACTAAACGTGAACAAACGGACACTCAACTTACTTCACACCACTGATTTCTACTTTGGACCCACTGACTGTAGATTGCTTGTGATTGTGATGAATAAGATATTGTCTAACTTATGCCTTGGTTCTGTATATATGGACGTGGATCGTATATCTGGTATGGCGTGCCCAGTTTGTGCACAGACTAACGATTGGAATAAATAGAAGTTTCAGTGATAGTACTTATTATAAGTTCAGTATGAGAGGGGAAAGATATTCTCGTGAGCTTCAGAATAAAATACACCACAAATGTACAACAAATTCAGAAATAAAAATATGAAACATGATAACCGAATGTCTTCAGTGTAATCTCATCGCGATAAAATATTACCAATTCAACGTTTCATAAATATTGGTTAAACAGATAACTAGACTGACAATACGTGCTTTACATTTCTATTACTTACTTTATACAGTCCATCTCTGTTTACGAATCTTCATCGTTCTCTTCTAATAACGCAAAGTTTGTCAAGAATATCTGTTCTATGCAATAACTACTTATAGCACTTCCCCTAAAAGTCCTAGATAATAGGACGAAATATTTTAGAGTATTTGTACAGGCTAGGACGATATTATATACAATCAGATACATCCACGTTCATTTTAAGTCTAGATGTGTATTGAACGAGAACTCAGATGGGGACAACCAATTTATTGTTCAATACGACATTACAGATTTCTATGATAAAATATGAAAACCATACATTAAATATTTCGTTTGCCAATCCTCAATCAATTGTCTCAAATTTCATCGTCCTTCATTGCTATTGCCATTACTCTCTGTTTTCATTCTCGTTCTCTTCACACCGATCTTCTCAAACTTATGTTCATCGAAATAAGTAGCATACATCACAGATTTGGTTTCATGTTACAACCTTTGATATATGTTGTTAATAAAACTTCAAAGTGATTAAACAGAACTCTTCAGCAAGTAAAAAATGGTGACTACTATTTTAAACTCCAACAAAAAGAAATCGTGGGTTTTGTAGACGATATGTCCAGCAAAGAGAAGCAGTGACTGTGGAATACTTAAAGAACAACCCTAAACTGGTTATAGCAGAATAAATCCACCTAAATCTCTAATGTCCTGTTACAATGGATTAGGCTCATGTTTCTCGTCTATCCTATTTTGATGCACTGACAACCTGAGATGACACAATATAGTTACAATCCTTTCTCAAACATACTGAAACCAATCCATTACAACTTATCCTTATTATTCGATTTTAAAGAATATCGCTTATTGACTAATGAATTTAGGTCATTTGATACACTGGTATTTCCAGTTATATAAACAAGCGATATTAATCCATACATGGTATAACACATATCTGATATTATCCAAGTAATTTAAAATGGAGATTAGTGTAGAACAATATTTCCATTTTGAAAATAGCTGAAAGTTTTAGGAATACTGCATACAAACAAATAACGGCATGAAAAGGCAGGGTGTGAAACATTAACTGTCGATACAAAAATGAGTTAAACTTTTGGATCCAATACAGATTAAAAGCCTCAGCACAAATTAGAAAAATACTGACCACTTAAGTATTCCGTTTAACCAGTCTGCTAAAGCCGTACATAAGATTGTCGTGATCCCCAATGTTGGATCAGTATAATAAGCAGTTGGAAACGTCAGTGAGTAGGCAGTATTAGGACTACCGATATGACTAACGACTGTAAACAAAGGCTCCAGACGCTAAAATCATAAACAAAATTCAGTTGTTGAGACCCAAATCTAATAAAAAGAGATTGTTTTACTGAACGAAAACAATCAACCATATTATCAGGACAAATAGAATAATAATTAGATATCAGTACATTTCATCTCATTTTTTACTAGTTAACAGATTAAAGAAAATCTCTATTAAAATTGTTTCATTATCTTACAGATGGATTCAATCTATTCAGATATGTTGTAGCTACCTATAGCCTGGGATATGTAAGTAATGTAATCTTGGACTCTAAAGTTCCGTAGCATCACTTCGGAGTTAATTTGCACTAAAACTTTGCCTTGACTATGAAAACACACAAACAGAAAAAAAACAATTGATTCGTAGGCGTTCAAATCCGTTTTTGACCTGATTTCTCTTCATAAGCTGATCAGGAGGTAGGTAATAACAAACCGGCTACTTATACCATACTTTCTCTCTAAGTGAAAAGTTGGAGGAAGAGAGGGTACACCCCTCGATGATCTTGAGAATCGGCCCAAACTGAAACTATTAAACATAATTAGTTGTAATTTGCTTCAACACGGGATTCTACCTAACTCAAGACTAGGATTTGAGAAAAAGTAGAGATGACCAGATCAGAACAGTGAAATTGCTCTACAACAAAATGAATTATTTCTTCACTCCCAAGTGGCCATCATATACCACTAACTTTCCTCAGACGAATAAAATGTTTTTATTAAAGCACATAGATGTAGCCAGTGATGCACTATGATATTGATTGACCAAAGCAATAAATAGAACGTTTAACACAGCTAACTTGTCTTTCGTTTTTCAGCCAACCTGTGGTGATTGCTCAACCAAAGGATAAGTTACTTGGTTTCGGCACATCTAAGCGTTTCAAATAATTCAGCTGCTCCTGTGGAGAAAGCTAATATTAGGAGCACAACCGGACAACTGAGCCATCAAATCAGTTAACGCTTTATATCGTAATTAAAAAAGTGTGTCATCAAAACAACATGCAGCTCTGTTCTATCAAACTTGACCAATATCAATCATGTAGTAGATAAAACAGGCCACTTAAAGTAATTTATTGTACTCCTATTAGTTTTCCTTGTTGAATTTAGTCTCGTCACTTACACGTAGCAGAAGGTATGGGGATTCGAGAAAATAATCTAAGTCTTTGTATTTATAAGGAATCTGTAGCATTTACCTTTACTGTGGTAAAACTAGGCTCAGCGAACGATCATACTTATCATTACTTTTCATACGCTTTGTTCATTTATTTTTCTTCACCGCTTTTTCAGATATATGTTTTACTTTCCATTTATCTGAACACTTTTTATTACATGATTTCAATAATTTTGGATAAATGTTAATTGAATGTCTGTTTTCTCAAGGCTTCAGTCTACATCCTACCATGAAACATTGATTAAAGCCTTTATTATTCATATCACAACTTGTACACCTGTAATCACACTATCAATTTGTACCTTCTGCTTACTATGTTTATTTATTCAATTTATTATATTGTTATCACTGACTCATAAACTCCGTTGATTGACTTAGTAATTTTATATATGTATATAAACATTATTGTATACTAGAGTAAAACCCGATGAGGATCTAATTGCAAACAATGTTGTTCGCTAATATATGTTGTTATTATTCACAATATGGGGATTTTTAAAATATTCATTTGACTTTATGGGCTATACAGTAACTATCCACTAGCCAAAATTACAATGTAAATAAAAAAACTTTAAAGAGAGCAAGAACAAAGGTTAGTGAAGAATAATATGAATTCATTTTATTTCGTTAGGTTCTCATCAACTGCTTACAACCCAAAATATTTGCAATTCAAAGTTATTATAGATATTGACATACTTATACAACAGAGGGCGATGAAGGATGAATATATGTAACATAATGTAGCAAAGATTTCGTTAGAGTTAGTGAGGTCATAAAATTTCGTTTCGAATATATAGAGTTTGGGAGGGAAAGTTCCAGAAAATTGAGATAGTGATTAGAAACCATGGAATTAAAGCATATTAGACGATTATGTAATGATATAACTGAAAATAGATTAATGTTAATGAAGAGAGATATGAATTGAAATTGGTCAGTTATGAATGATGTAATTATAAAATTCAGAGAGTTGGAATGACGTAATAAAAATAAATAAAAATAAAAGGGGGTGGATGTTACCAGGGCAAAGAAAGATTTATTACTGTTTCTTTTTGTATACAAAGATCTGGTTTTAAAAGCTTGATTGCTATTGCTTCGGTGAATATCAAAAGGTTTGAATTTGATTGTTTGTTGATCACCTTGAAGGACTTCAGTATGTCGACTTCGTGTCCTGTGTCAAGGAGATGTCTTGCGACAGCGCTGCTAAATGCTTTTAGTCCGTTTGACCTCAAACTCTTCGGAATATGTTCTTTGAATCGGACATAGGCTCTCCTTTCTGTTCTACCAATGTAACTGCTTTGGCAGATACATGTAAATTTGTATACACAGTTGGTGGTAACATGAAAGGGATACCTGTCGACCTTTGATTGTGTCAAAGAACATGTCGTTTTGGACAGGACAATCAATTTAGCTGCAGAATATGTTTTTGTCAATGCAGTTTTTAGTCTCATATTGATTGACCCCATGACATTATCGCCTTTGAATTTGAGTTGAATAAAAACAGGTTTTTTATTTACTGTAGTTTCTTTGGGTATTTTATCTTCACGTTTTCCATATTTCTCAATAAATCTCAATAGGTATCCGTTATTTCTTAAATACTTTTTAACATTCATAATTTCCTCTTCTATTGTATCGGCAGTACATATTCTTTCTGTTCTGTGAAACAGTGTTTTGACAAGTGCCTTTTTATAATTGATTGGACAAAAGCTGTTGAGATTGAGATAAATACCATTCCATGTGTCTTTCTTATAAACTGAGCGTTGAACTGTGCCATCCTTTCTTCGTTTTATCGCTATATCGAGAAAATGGAAAATGTTTTCTTTTTCATGTTCCATAGTGAAATAAATATTTGGATGAGCTTCATCGAAAAAACCTTAACAGATTTGTCGCATGTTGTTGATTATTATATAAGATGAATGTATCATCAACATATCTCGAATAATACATCATCTCATCAATCACTCCTTTAAGCTTGGTTCTTTCGAGGTTAGCTATGGAAATGTCTGCTAGGACGGGGCCTAACGGACTTCCCATTGCTACACCATCGGTTTGTCGGTGTATAGTATTGTTGAATTGGAACTGAACATCTTTTGTACACAAGAGTAATAGTCGTTTGAATTCTATTGCTGGTAGAGGTAGGATATCAGGATGTTGACAAATTATGTCTATGGTTTCAAGAAGTGGTATTTTTGTAAACAATGATGTCACATCAAAAGAAACCATAAACTTACCAGCAATATTTATGTGATTCATGCTATCAGCAAATACGAAAAAACTTTACATGTATTGAAGCGAACGCTTTTGTAAAGAATCAGATATAAAAACTACATGGTCAAACGATATCAGTTTCAAATACAATAATCATAATTATTAAGATAAAGTCCAAACCAAAGTATCTTCCTCAAAGATAAAGTAGGTCCCCTGACTGAGTAAATTCAAAGTCAACTCATTTTTCTTAAAGTTACAAAATCGATTAACTTCAGATCCAGATTGCTCAGCGTATCAATGATAACGTGCGAAATTCCAGAATTTAGGTTATCTAGTTTACCTAACAAATTACATCACTTAAACAAGTGGGCACTAAATAGGTAGTCAGTCAGTCAAATACAACGTAGAACCAGGCACATATATGCATAGGTCTAAGTTGCCATACCTCATTAGCACAACAAGATGAACACTGAATTCATAGAAGTAATTAATTCAATGGTAATAATATATGAAAGAAAGATTGCATATAAGGATATAGTACAGAAAGAAAAAATTAGTTCGTAGAAAGGAATGTATGAAGCGATTTTAATCTCATAGTTTAAGGGAAGACAGGAAGTGCATACACCTACGCCATTGTGACCGATTCTGAGCCATGTCATCCAGAGTCTCAAACCATTGGTTACGATAGTCACGTGGACCCCAACCAAGTAGTCTGCATCTACCAACATGGCAAAGGCCAGAAGTTAGTGACTTTAAGGACTGATGCCACGCTCAGGTTTGGACACTTCCTTCCAACCATCCCCAACACTAGTCAGCATTGCGCGTCGTGGTAATCGGTGCTCAGGCATACGTAACAAGTGGTCCAACCATCTCAGTCGATGAAGATTCATAACCTCATCAACTGATTTACCATCATTCCCTAATACCCAGCGTCTAACCTCCCTATTACTAAATAGGTAGCGCTTATATAAAGTCCCTCGTAAAAATATACTGTTTGGTAACGATTACAAAGTTACAAACTTATACACAATCCCATCTTTGTCAACTCATGTATGCATAGCTTCTTATTTGTGACTGAATCACTATTCCACATTATTAAATGTGGGCAACAAGTCATTTTACAGTTCTATAAGTTATCTGATTTCACAAACTGTGCTACTTTCATCTAATTACAAGTCATGGTAGTCGAATAAGCAACTGTTAGTTCTGATCACTAGTAAAAGAATTATGGTTTGGAATAGTTTTGTTTTAAAACCTACGATTTGTGACTGTTACAAACTAGCTTGTGTTGAAGCAAACAATTCAAGACTTTTTCATACAAAAGCGTGTTTCCTAAATCAATATATGAGATAAATTACTACTTATGACCAAGTTAATAAATTACAAACTGATTTAGGAATGATAAGATTTTAATATAACATAGCGATACTCCCTTACTTTCAAAATGAGCAATTTTAATAAAGTTACCTTGATTGGTCAATTAACCATTCGATGATTAATGAATGGTAATTAATTTATACTTAAAAATGCATGCTCTAGTGGTTTGCTGACTAGCATCTGTTATTCTTGTTTGAAAATCGTCGTTACTTTTAGGTTAACAGTAGTTTTGGATGGAAACAATACATTTTTATCAAAGTTCATGTACTAAGGTTGTTAAAGCACTCATAAGTTTACTCCTGTGCAATCCAAAACAAAGATATTCAGCCATCGTTTAGAAACCTTTTTAAAAAGCATGTCCACTATTAAGGTTGAAAATGTACACCTTACAAACTTTCTCTTTGTCACCTCTCATTTATTTTTGTATCGAAATAAATATTTAATAGCTTAGAAGCGGTGCAAAATAACCCCTAAATTATGCCCTATTTAGATTAAAGACATAGAAATATTTGAGAACCACATAAACATATATTAGTCCATCAAAATGCATTATGAAGTGTAATTCATCACAGTAACGAAAGTTTAAATTACTCACTTCATAGTTTTGAATCCAGTGTATAAACTGGATGCCATTACTATGTATCCTATTCATTTCTAGTGCAAGAGACTTTCAAATAGTGTTCTTTCAGGATTAGAGACAAGCAAAATGTAAAGGGCCTTGAACAACAGCCTTAGTAAAGATAAGCGAAAAGTAAAAGGTAAATGAAACATGAGTACATCATATAAAGTTAACTCACTTCGTATACTACAGCACATGTTAAACAACATAGTATTATAGACAGTGATCAAAGACAGTCAAACGATACCTCATAAAGATTTCTTCTTAAACCCTAAAAGTAAGTAAATGATGACTGTATTCCGTCGTGTTCATTAGCTGGATACCATAAGAACCTGATCTTCTACATACACTCATTATCTTAGCCATAAATTGTTAAGGTCTGACATAAACAGATGAGTGAAGTATTGTTGAAAGACTTGACATTTTTTTACAAGACACGAAAATCAACCTTTAGTTTATACTATCAGTCAAATCACATGATACTCTGAAGTTTGTAATGCAATAGGATTCATGACATGTAAATATATGAAGATCTTTTAATACCTTTTGGTTTGTTAGGGGCCTCTAATTTTACAGCCCATATTGCCTAACTGCGTATTAAACCCTACTAGATACGACAAAACAGGACAACACTACTTTCTAAATGTCTTTTGCGCTTAACTTTAAAGACAAGTGGTAAATTAAATAAGGATTTGGAGAGTATATTTATACTTATGCAGAATTACAGGAGCTTGCAACTCTTCGGCTAGCACCTCAGAGGAGAGAATTCTTAATACAAGATGTGTTGTGATATGGCCACAAAACCACTGTTCACTTCGAATCTAGGAAATAAGGCCAATGGGTAGAATATTTTGAGTAAGAACCCAACTGAACTTCAGCTACCCATCAATTACCCCGTATCCAAACAACCTGAATAGATTATTTGTACAAGTCTCCTTAATCTCAATGGGGCAGAAAAGGCCATAGCCACTACAAACCGAGAGTGTAGCGGGCTCGGATGGATTAACTTCGAAGATCTTTAAAGACGGCAGTTCAACTGTTAGCGCCTAAGCTGAGATGGTCACTAGATTTTAAGGGCTGGGTGTAACCATAGCTGACTGATCCCAGCAGATGATCACTCTAGTTTAAATATAACGTCAGAAATCTTATAGTGATAACTGCAGAGTCAGTTTGGCTAATCTGATGCTTACTTACGCCTGTTACTCCTCGTGAAGGAGCATAGGCCTCTCACCAGCATTCTCCATCCAACCCTGTCCTGGGCAATCCTTTCTAGCTCCGCTAAGTGGTAATTCATCCTTTTCATATCTGCTTCTATTATCCGACGTAATGAGTTCATTGACCTTCCTCTTTTTCGCTTCCCTTCAGGATTCCAAGTTAGGGCTTGCCTCGTGATGCAGTTTGACGATTTGCGTAATGTATGTCCTATCCATTTCCATCGTCTTTTCCTAATTTCTTCTTCAGCTGGAAGTTAGTTTGTTCTCTCCCACAGAAGGCTATTGCTGATGGTATCCGGCCAATGGATGTTGAGTATCTTGCGTAGACAGCTATTTATAAATACTTGTACTTTCTTGATTGTGGTTGTTGTAGTTCTCCTAATCTGATGCCTGGTATACTAATATTTCTAGCCATTTGACGCTCAATTAAAGCACATGAAGGGCAAATTCTGGTGAAGATGTCACAGGTATTCAGTTTGACAACGCTTTTACCAGTAACACCTATTAAAACTTGTACCCACCAAGAGAAATCAAAAGATAGAATCGAGGAGATCGGAAGTTGTATTTGACGATCGCCAATATATCGGAATTGTCTGATCTAGTCTGACTAGCGATTGCAGTAAATGTTGAGCACAGCGTTCCCACACGTGATCTGGTGTGGATGCATGACCGAGCGCCTTCAACTAGGTTAATCCATTAAAACATGTGGTCAGCATCCAATGTCGAAAACTTACAGAGCTACTTATTTTGGGGATTTATTTACCGCTACACTGGAAAACAGGGCTAGTTTTAGACCCAGATGTGGGTATATTGATCAAGCATTTACACTGCGCCATGCGTAAGAATAGAAGTATAATTTCCAATCCCCTACTGCTGTCCCATTTCTTGATTTTAAGGCAGCATTCAACTCCGTTGACTGAGAGATTTACTGGCAATGCTCTTCATTTAAAGGTTTAATAAAAACGTACTTGACCGTATGAACGCTCCCTACTCAGACACTATTAGTCAAGTCAGAGCCTATGATGAGTTATCATCATAGTTGTCTATCGGAAAAATTGTTCTTCACAGTAGTCTACTATTCCCCTTTTAATTCGACTAAGTCTTATATGTTCCCTTACAAAACCACTTTCTTCATCGAACTTTCGACGGTTGATTTTCAACCGGAACACCTACAGATCAACTTGGGATACACAACTGAAATATTCCTGGTCAGTGAACTCGCTGATAAAATTCAGGCCTTTAGTTACCTTGAGCAATGAGCATGCAAAGAAACTCCGGATACTTCTTTTTCACTTCCATCAAATTATTTGGACTTTCTTCGCTGCTGATCTTGCCAATTTTATCTTGTCGTTCCACTGTATTAAAGAAGCTTCGGGCAAGCATATTTATTACATGTTCTACGCTGTTAGTGTTTGACTAGTGGCTATGATCCTTAAACAACCACCTTCAGTTATAAATATACATATAAGCACAGATAGGACTATGAACCACTAGATCGATTATCTTCCTACACTTTTGCTTTCTCCAACTTAATGCCATCTATAACTTTGATAAACAATTCAAAAATTATAAAATCATGGGGTAGTTGTACAAAGCTGGAACTGCTTCGGAAAACTTAAGCCCTTTGCTCTTGACTCTCACGCAACACTTACGCACTTTCATAACAATCAGTCATACTATATAGTAATCATATATATGATTACTGTTATACGTAGAACAGTTTGTATAATATCTTACTGACTAAACAGATAATGAAAACTAGATTCAAGTGAAAAACTTGAATATGATGCCACTAAAAGGTGAGGACATATTGTGATCTGTTGTAAAGTGTCAAAAATAGTTTTACTATAAATTTCATGAAACTGACCACGATATATTAACGGCAATTCATAAAGCGCGCTCAGCGAAATGCCACCTTGTATCCTAAAAATGTCCAATGTTACATTGCCAAACAGCTTATTTCTTCAAATCTCATATCCCTTAAAAATTGAGTATTCGAGAATCTTCGTCGTCATTGCTCCGTTTTAACTCTTACGATTCATGAATAACTCGAAAATATAAAGAGATATGTCCACATGACAAATTGATATGAATGTATAACTCAAGGTTGGCTCATAAAAACTGTGAACTCAAACAAGATTATTTTTCACTAAACTGAATGAATACTAAGCAGTCGATAAGTACTTGAAAATTTCAAATACTTCTACTATGATCCATTTCATTTTGTCATGTTGACTTTATTTGAAATCCACACATAAGCAACGCAGAATATTCACTGAGAGATGTGACTTTGACGTTATCTGGGAGACCATGTTAGCACCGTCTGACTCGAGTTAGTTCCCGATCATCGACCAAATTTACCTACGTTGGTGATCTACAACCTTAAATTGGTTCTATCACATGGAACTGAAAATTGATCTATACCAAACTTCACCAGAAAATACAGGTATTCATTCTCATATTTTGACGCAAGAAGTCCGCACCGGCTGACCATTTAACATCAAAACAACATATCCTGGTAGGATAGAGGGAAGCTTCTGGACACAGATGAGGAAGTTAAGAAAAAACACTCAAGGTGGATAAGATACACTTCTCTCAACACATTACAAGAAAATCCCTGGCTTGAAATCCTAAAAGCAGCAAGATTATGGGCAGGTCAAAAAATACGGCATGGAAAAATAAACAAAAGCATAAATAAAATGAGTAACATTTGCCTACATCTTTTACTTCTCGTAGAGTAGCACAGGTCGCTCACAGGCATACTCCATCAAACTCATTCCAGAGCATTCCTTTCCAGTTGTTATCCATCCTTTTCATATCTGTTTCCAAGTCCCAACTCGTTGTGGTCCTGGTTCTTCCTTTCCTCACATTTTCTTTAGGATTTCAAGTTAGCACTTTCCTTTTCATGATTCCTGCAATATATGCCCTATCCATCTTCAACGTCTTTTCCTAATTTTACTATCAGCTGGAATACGATCTGTTCTTTGTTACATTTGGTTATTGTCGATGATGTCTAGTCAACAGAATTGTATCACCTTGCATATACGGCTGTTTATAAATACCTGAACGCGTTTGATGTTAGTTGTAGTGGTTCCTCACGTTTCAGCTCTGTACAGTGGAACTGTTTTGACGTGTGTATTGAAGATTCTGACTTAGATACTGTTTGACAGTTGTTTTGAGTTGCATGTGTTGTTCGACTGTAGGAAAGCTGGTCCTCACTTGGAATGCATCTGTCAGCTGTCCTCCATGAACCGTCCGTCGCATGAATTCTGAATAATGTTGACAGTTTTCTCAGGTACACCATAATGCCAAGGGTGGTCCCATAAATTCACCTATTCACACTGTCAAATTTTTTCTCATAATAAAGGAAGGTGATGTATAATAACAAGTTCCATTCGCTTGGTTACTTATTAATGATCTGTAGTTTCGTGATTTTGTCTGTACATGTCTTATCCTTAAGGAATCCAGCCTGTCGTCTGATGAATTTTTCATGTGGCTCAGCGACACTTTTGAAAACTTTTCCTGGTACTGACAGTAGTGTGATGCTTCTTTAGTTCTCTTATTTGCTCTAACCTTCTCGCTTTGGTATCTCAGTGGCACATGTTCCTCTCCCTAAATCTCCCTGAAGCGTTTAATCTAGGCTTGTTAACCGCTGTAAGAGATGCGAAGTACAGCGTACTCACTCGTGTTCTGGTGTGTTTGCGCGACCAGGTGACTTAAGCTACATGCGTCCAGTAAAAATAACAAGATCATCATTAAATGTCAAAGACTTACAGAACTATTTATTTCAGATGTTTAATTATCGCTTTAGTCCGAATGTTCGCGTGACGATAATGTAGGAATCTCATCATTACGAATAATTCTTCGTTTGTTGTATTAAAACAATCGTTCTGAGCAGGTATGAAAATCGCATGCCAACTATCTTCCATGAGTGGCAGGGTTTCTAGCTTTGGTAGTTTTACACATACTCTAGATTTTCCAGTATTCAAACTTAAACGGTTTGTGGTCTGTTGACAAACTCTGGACTCAGAAGTGCTTCTTAAGCCTTAGCAGCTTACAGCTTTCCTTGTCGATTCATGGAGGGCAAAGTGATAGACTGACAATGGCGGTTCATGTTCTAAGTCAATATATGTCAGTTATTTGATGCAATTTACAAGTGTGCACCGAATAATGGTTGTCAGTTGGCAGCTATCGAAACGTCCGACTGAAATTGTAATCTCTATCTAGTTGATATGCCGCGTGCGCAAAATCTCCAACGATGGGATAGCAATCTGACTTGCTTCCAGAACATATATTATTTAAGGTAAGTCGTCAGCAAAGCAACGTAGACTGCTGCATATCTCTCCTGTAGTCACTAATCCGTGTCTAGATTTATTGTTACAATAAGCTGTCTCGCATTTATCGGTGTAATGCGCCTCCGATGCGCTCAATTCCTAAGACTACGCGTGTTTGTGTAGTACACATTTAAGGTGTTTTGAGAATCACTCGTTCTATCTATACAGATTTCAAAAGCATTGGCTTCCAATGCTTTAACACTCTAAAACCCTGAGTCTTGGGGTTTGTTTCAATTTAACCAGTAACAACATTTATAATCGAATTGTGCCGACCCAGTCAAATGAGAAGCCGGGAACAAAGAGGTTCAAAGATGTATTCGAAAGAATATCGATATATCGCGGAGTCACCAATCTAGGCTGGCTAGCGGTTATAGGAGATATGAAGAACGGTGTGCCCACTCGTGTTCTGGTGTGGATGCCTGACCAAGCGCCTTCAGCTAGGTGAGTCCATTACAACTAATGCCGTCAGCATCAAATGTCGAAGACTTACGGAAATATTGATTTTGGGGGTTTATTTACCGCTACACACCATTTCGCTTTCGCGTTCTTAACTCAGTAATGACATCCTTTCATGTCTGTTTATCCTTCATGGGTTCTGATTTCAGTATGATCATTATTTTATCAGTATTAAATCTGTGACATAAATGATCACTTGCTCGGTGCTTCAGTGTAGGAAAAGTAGTAAAGTTGTCCTCGGTCCTTTACATTTAATGTTGTATGCGAATTATTTCTCAAGTATGGTAGAGTCTCCAATGTTGTTATACGCTGACGATGTAAAGCTCTGGCGAGAAATAACGGGAGATGCAGATGAATGCGCACTTAAGGCAGACTTAAATATTGGGACTAACTGGTCTAAGGAGTAGGTGATGCCTATTAACGCGTCAAAGTATTTCTACATGCACTTTGGTGATGTAAAGGTAGTGATGATGTCACAGGTATTCAGTGTTTGACAACGCTTCTACCAGTAACACCTTCTAATATATTTCGTTCCCGCCCAGAGAAATCAAAAGATAGAGTCGAGGAGGTCGGAAGAGTATATTTGGCGATGACCAATATATCGGAATTCTCTGATCTAATCTGGCTAGCGATTGCGGTTGATGTTGAGCACGGCGTTACCACACGTGATCTGGTGCGGATGCCTGACCGAGCGCCTTCAGCTAGGTGAGTCCACTAAAACATATGGTCAGCATCCAATGTCGAAAACTTAGTGCTATTTATTTTGGGGATTTATTTACCGCTACAGATCACTCCCCCCCTAGTGGGGCAGTGATGACCCTAAGACGTGGCCAGCCAGAAGTTTAAACCCAACGAGTTTGTCGTTGGTAAACACTCTTCTGATAGCTTACTAAATTTAGCAGCGTCTGGTCGTCTTTCCTTACTATATGGGACGGAGGTACAACATACTAAAAAAAGAAAATGTACAATGAAAATTTCGGATCCTCATAAACGTCATCGTTCTTTTCCAGCCGTCCTGGAAAAGAAAAAAGAAAATGTAAATGCATGTCGAAATACACTCGTATGTGCGTAAAAGCACAATGTCGGCGGAAAAAAAATGGAAAATAAACTCATGAACACGTAATAGCGTTAAAAAAATTGTTTTTTTGTTTTGTTTTTTTTTAAATAGAAATAAAAATATATAAGCATATTAAAATTGTTTTTTTTTAAAAAAATAATATAAAATGTCGAGAAGTGCCTTACGTGCAATAGTCGTTTAGATGTTCTGGAAATCTCACCCTTCTTCCAGAACGCGTCGTTTTAAGTTTATTTTCGGATACTGTCGAAGTATCATCGTGTGTGTTGGTTGTCGGATGAGGTATTATAAGTGTCGGAGTCGTGTCGTTCGATTGTACCGAAGGAAAATCCACGTAGATAGGATTTCCTTCTAAATACGCTGCTTTTAAGCGATCGATACTGATGCTATCGTTGGTTCCGTTCTTATCGACTATATAGTACTTAGATTCACGTTGAAGAACTTTGAAGGGTCCTTCGTATGCTGATTCGAATGGTCGTCGATGCGAGTCTCGACGAACGAAAACATGTGTACTATATCGTAAGTCAGGTTGAACGAAAACATCAGTTGATTGAGGTCGAGTGGAAGCAGGTTTAACTGAACGCATTGCGTTTGTAAGCCTGTTCGTGTAGGAGGTTAGATCCATGTTCATTGAAGAGGATGAAGGATCCACGAATTCTCCTGGAAGTCGAAGTGTCGTGCCATAAACGAGTTGAGACGCAGTGTATCCAATGTCAGCTTTCACTGCATTGCGGATACCTAGTAAGACGAGTGGAAGAGCGTCGGTCCACTGTGAAACGTTTGCAGCTGATAGCGAAGCTTTCAGTTGTCGGTGAAAACGTTTTACCAACCCGTTTGCTTGTGGATGGTAGGCGGTCGTTCGGAAGCGAGTGGTTCCTAAAAGTGTGGTCAGACGACGGAAAAGATCGGATTCAAACTGACGTCCGCGGTCTGTAGTAATGGTTGAAGAGCAGCCAAAGTTTGCTACCCATCGTTCGACGAAGGTGCGAGCTACTGTTTCAGCAGTGATGTCCTTGATAGGTACTGCTTCTGGCCATCGAGTGAAACGG